ATGTTTTCCTTTCCCCAAAAGACCATTGAAAGTATTTTATTCAGTGACCTAATTACCTAAATATAAAACAGACCAATTTGTTAATAATGCTTATTAAATTCACTGACGTGTTTTTTCAGCTTGGGAACTCCTTTAGGTTTTGTGAGGGGAGCTGGTATGGAGCCCTATCGGCTCCCTCAGTAATGCCAACATGATTAGTCAACTTGAGAACAATTTAAGACCAGAGTAGGCTAGAGGATTTATTGAAGCACTGCTTCTGGAAATCTGGCTAGAGGAACAGGATAAGAGATGGTGAAAGAACAAGCAACAACCTCTTTGGCACGTTGCAATTTGCCCTCGATGGTGGTTACTTACAATGAGCATGTACAACCTACTTGTCTGGAAGGGTCTCAATATAAGAAGAAGGATTTCAACCTCTCCAACACATTAATATGTTTTCCCTTCTTTATTGAAAAAGGAGCAGCAGGGGGAGTTAAGGGAACGGTTTGTAAAGCATTTCCTTCCCTCCAGGTAGTAAATTATACTTCTAACTTTTCTCCTACCAGCCAAGCATCTCTACTCTTTTTCCAGAAGCCAAGTCTATCAAAAATAGAAGGACTTTGCTGAAAAAAGGTACAATTAGAATTAGGGAATTCTTTTTTCATATGAAGTTGCATGGAGCTAAAACCGACTTGAAGGCAAATGGTGGAGAATAGAACTGAAACAAAAGTCCTGGCACAGTCAAGGAATTGTGAGTTATCCCAAAAAGTCTCTGTTGTTCCAATCACATCATATGACTGGAGCACTGTCATGGATGGATATAAACTGTTCAGGAAGGACAGGCAGAGCAGAAAAGGTGGAGGAGTTGCATTGTACGTAAGAGAACAGTATGACTGCTCAGAGCTCTGGTATGAAACTGCAGAAAAACCCGAGTGTCTCTGGATCAAGTTTAGAAGCGTGAGTAACAAGGGTGATGTCGTGGTGGGAGTATGCTATAGACCACCGGACCAGGGGGATGAGGTGGACGAGGCTTTCTTCCGGCAACTAACGGAATTTACTAGGTCGCAGGCCCTGGTTCTCATGGGAGACTTCAATCATCCTGATATCTGCTAGGAGAGCAATACAGCAGTGCACAGACAATCCAGGAAGTTTTTGGAAACTGTAAGGGACAATTTCCTGGTGCAAGTGCTGGAGAAACCAACTTGGGGCAGAGCTCTTCTTGACCTGCTGCTCACAAACCGGGAAGAATTAGTAGGGGAAGCAAAAGTGGATGGGAACCTGGCAGGCAGTGACCATGAGATGGTCTAGTTCAGGATCCTGACACAAGGAAGAAAGGAGAGCAGCAGAATACAGACCCTGGACTTCAGAAAAGCAGACTGACTCCCTCAGGGAACTGATGGGCAGGATCCCCTGGGAGAATAACATGAGGGGGAAAAGGAGTCCAGGAGAACTGGCTGTATTTTAAAAGAATCCTTATTGAGGTTACAGGGACAAACCGTCCCGATGTATAGAAAGAACAGTAAATATGGCAGGCGACTAGCTTGGCTTAACAGTGAAATCCTTGCTGATCTTAAACACAAAAAAGATGCTTACAAGAAGTGGAAGATTAGACAAATGACCAGGGAAGAGTATAAAAATATTGCTCGGGCATGCAGGAGTGAAATCAGGAAGGCCAAATCACACCTGGAGTTGCAGCTAGCAAGAGATGTTAAGAGTAACAAGAAGGGTTTCTTCAGGTATGTTAGCAACAAGAAGAAAGTCAAGGAAAGCGTGGGCTCTTACTGAATGAGGGAGGCAACCTAGTGACAGAGGATGTGGAAAAAGCTAATGTACTCAATGCTTTCTTTGCCTCTGTCTCCATGAACAAGGTCAGCTCCCAGACTGCTGCACTGGGCAGCACAGCATGAGGAGGAGGTGACCAGCCCTCTGTGAAAAAAAGAAGTGGTCCAGGAGTATTTAGAAAAGCTGGACAAGCACAAGTCCATGGGGCCGGATGCGCTGCATCCGAGAGTGCTAAAGGAGTTGGCGGATGTGATTGAAGAGCCATTGGCCATTATCTTTGAAAACTCATGGCTATCGGGGGGAGGTCCCGGATGACTGGAAAAAGGCTAATGTAGTGCCCAGCTTTAAAAAAGGGAAGGAGGATGATCCTGGGAACTGTCAGCCTCACCTCAGTCCCTGAAAAAAGTCATGGAGCAGGTCCTCAAGGAATCAATTCTGAAGCACTTAGAGGAGAGGAAAGTGATCAGGAACAGTCAGCATGGAGATCTGATGAGGTTCATCAAGGAAAAGTGCAGAGTCCTGCACTTAGGACGGAAGAATCCCATGTACCACTATAGACTAGGGACCAAATGGCTAGGCAGCAGTTCTGCAGAAAAGGACCTAGGGGTTACAGTGGATGAGAAGCTGGATATGAGTCAACGGTGTGCCCTTGTTGCCAAGAAGGACGATGGCATTGCCAGCAGATCGAGGGACATGATCGTTCCCCTCTATTCAACATTGGTGAGGCCTCATCTGGAGTAGTGTGTCCAGTTTTGGTCCCCACACTACAAGGAGGATGTGGAATAATTGGAAAGCGTCCAGTGGAGGGCAACAAAAATGATAAGGAGACTGGAACACATGACTTATGAGGAGAGGCTGAGGGAACTGGGATTGTTTAGTCTGCGGAAGAAAAGAATGAGGAGGGATTTGATAGCTGCTTTCAACTACCTGAAAGGGGGTTCCAAAGAAGATGGATCTAGACTGTTCTCAGTGGTAGCAGATGACAGAATGAGGAGTAATGGTCTCAAGTTGCAATAGGGGAGGTTTAGGTTGGATATTTGGAAAAACTTTTTCACTAGGAGGGTGGTGAAACACTGGAATGAGTTACCTAGGGAGGTGGTGGAATCTACTTCCTTAGAAGTTTTTAAGGTCAGGCTTGACAAAGCCCTGGCTGGGATGATTTAGTTGGGGATTGGTCCTGCTTTGAGCAGGGGTTTGACTAGATGACCTCCTGAGGTCCCTTCCAACCCTGATATTCTATGATTCGATGCAGTCCACCGCATCAACAAAGGAAAGCAATTAATAAGAGACTGAAAATTTCTAAATATACTTGGAAAGTCAAAAACTAAGAGCCAAATTGTAATTTGAGAGATTCTACAGAGGAATGCCAAATTCTTATTACATTTTCCTCCAATTTCAATCAAGCTCTTTTAACAAGATAATCTTAGCACTTGGAACTTGTGACCTTAGCTGTGCTCACTAGAAAGCTGTTAACTTTAATAATGAGTCAATAATTATTTTTCTACTTTGTAGAGACCTAGGAACTTAGAAGGTGAGTTGGAGAAAGCCAAAGGACACCTGATCTGCTTGGAGAATTCTTAAACTCAAGTATCAGGAAGATGGTGCTATGTACATTCACACATCTTCAGGGATGGGTTATAAAGAGAACAGAAAGTCAGTGGTCACTTGAGTATGATTCTTCCCCATGAGGAACATGCCAGATAATTTACATGTTATGCCATGATTCCTCATGGGATCAGGGCACCTGACTGAGGGGAGGGGGGAGGGGAGATGGATCTACTAATGATAAACATTGTAGTCTTCAGATAATACTGCAGAAGAACTGTTTAATTCCAGTGCTGAAAGCAGTGTGTACTCAGCGTCATTGCTGGCTGTCTTTGTTCTTTGACAGAAGTCTGTCAAGGAAATTTTCCAATTCAGTTGAGGATGTCTATCACCACTCTTCTGACAATTCTTATGACTGAAGGACTTTTTCTTCCTTTAAGTCATTAAAATAAGATATGAACACACAACACGTGCTTAATCTTCACAAGGCCACACAACAGATGTTGAACATTGCTCTCAGCCTGCCAGCCTTGCAAGCGTAAACAGTAGAGAGCCAAAGTTGATGTCATTTGCCAGCCAATTTCTGCTACAGAGCCTCTCTGGCAATTAAACATGAAGCTCAAAAAGCCAGCAGACTGGTTTTAATACATGTTGTCAAGACAATAAAGACCAAAGTGCAAATTCAACTGATTCATGGCACTTTGTTTTTAAATCACTGACAACTAAGCAAAGCCCAAAATAAAAAACTCTTAACCAAATGATAGGGGAGCAGGACCAAAGGAGGAGCACAAGGAATATGAGGAGACAGACTGGTAATGAAACTGATTCTTACCATTATTACTACAGAATTAGGTAAGACGCTAGAGAAATCTCCTTGGGGGCGGGGAGAGAGAGCGCGCGCGCACGCCTCTCAAAAACCATCATCCTTACTTGATCAAACATCAAAAGGAGGAACTGACAGTTCATCTATGGGTAAAGCACTGTAAAGAAAATCTGACCATATACCGGATGAGTTCTCCGTTCAGAGCTAGTGTTATGCAAAGTTAGTGAATACAGCAACGTTCTCGAATATGCAACTCTGAGAGCTGAAAGCATTATGTTGATCCTTTTGTACTTGCCTCACTCTAGTACAAAGACCAGATGATAATTCTTCATGGTAGAAAGGTAAAGATTAAACTTTGCCAGTGTCTGATTGTGAAATGTCCTTGCAGTGATTAAAATGAATGAAGGTCAAGTTCTCTTTGAAGCGTGCAATCCAAAACAACATTTCGGAAGCAACAAAGACAACTGCTTTTAACAGAGTTTTCAGCAGCAAAAAGGGATTGAAGTAAAATTTCAATTTTCTTTTATTGTAACAGACAGTAAATCTAGGCATTATTTATACTAATTACTGCATTTTTACCACTGCAAATAAAAGTAGGAGAAGTATGTTTGAAGTCAGTGGCTCCTTACTCCTAGTCTCTCACATTAAGGAGCACTAATGAGACAATCCAGTTTCTCCACACTAATAGTAAGTAATTAGTTCCCGAGGAGTTAAAAGGTTACAATATTTAATAAAAAGCTACAATTGTTATGATCTTGAGGACACACTTCACTGGGATACAAGTATCTTTTCAATAATAGGACACACAAATGTACTACTGTGAAATGAATACATACTTCAAAAGCACTTTTTTTTTTTGGTTTGAACTTACCTTAGCCTTAACCCCACAAAATAGCCAAATATTAGCTCTCCTTGCCAGCTCTTCATCAGTACTGCAGAGACTCCTAGGCTCCATTCTGCATTCCTACTGACTTCACCTGAAGGCAGGACAGGTAGGTCCTATTCTCAGCTCCTTCCTGAATCACTTCCCTCTGCTTCCTCATCTGCAAACATAATTTATACTACTACTTGAGGTCATCTAGGAGTTGCGGGAGGCTTAATTCTACTGGTCAATTTTTTCACCAAAATCATATTTTGACAAAATAATTGACACGAAATTGAAAGTTCGAACAGAAAATTTTCATATTGGTTGAATTTTTCTGGTTTTAAAACAAAATTTTCCAGTAAAAATGTTTGAAAACCAAACATTCATTTGAAAAGCTAAAAGTTCTTTTCAGGGTTTTTGTTTGTTTGTTTGGAAAGTTTCCCACAAAAAAGTAATTGGCATTTTTCAACCAGCTCTGCTTAATTCATTAATGTTTAACATCACGTCATTGGATGGAAGGTACAATGTAGGTGTGAAGTATCATTATATTGACATTGATCACATTAACCCTGCTCAGAAGTTTCGAGTTATGTGAAGCAGTGCACACTAGAGAAAGGAACTTAAGGTCAGGAACTCCTGAGCAGAGATAGGTGAATAATGGATTTTTCAGTTTGCTGGCAGATCTGAATTTTTAAAAAATTCATTTTGAGTTGACCTGAAAATGAAACTTTTCAGAATTTTTATTAAATCAGAGCAGAAGAGAGGAGTTTGGGGTCAAACAACACTTTAATTTGACCTGAAAGGTTTCATATCAATTTTGAGCTTTTTTAAAAAAAAATCATATTTGCTTTAAGGGTAAAATGTAAGGAAATTACAAAATGAAGTTGTTTCAGCCCAAACAAATTGAACATTTCAAAAGTACTGAAACAAAACACTTAAACTTTTTCCAAATTGGAGGGTGGGTGGCAGGACTGAGAAACGATTTGGTGCAATAGATATGAATCATGAAACATTTTGTGTTGCTGAATCTGCACCTTTTCCTGAAGGGGAAAAAAAAAGACCAAAATATTTTGCCCAGCTCTATTCCAGAGTTCTTATCACAACTCTGTCACTGACCTGCAGTGTGGCCTTAGTCCCAATATTTGCCCTCTCTGCCTCACTTTCTCCATCTGTAAAATTCAGGTGCTGACTTCAGATCCACATAAAAGGGATAAAAGTAATGTTGAACCACACAGTATAACTCATGCAAGTCCTGCATCTGATCAGACTCAAGTGTTAAGTTCCAATCTATCGGATGTTCAGTTTCTTATCTTGAACCTTTTTTAGATAAGGGAGGTAAGGGGGCTGGGGGAGGGGAGAGAGAAGAAAAAAAAATGTGAAATGGGTTCCAGCCCCTTGTAGTGTAGAAGTAGAAATGGATTTTATTAAAAAGCTCTATTTTTTTAGAAAATGACACAAAGTGTAGAAAGAGATTAGAATCCAGATTGCAGTGAACATCCTAGTCGAGAGTGTGTTGGGGGTCGGGGATCAGGGGTTGGAAGGAGGTTGTTTGTGGGGTTCTTTTAAATACAAGATGTGACCACAAAAATAAGTAAATGATTGTTGTTTTTAGCTCACGATAGATTTGGCAAAACATGTCAAACTGAAAGCATAAAGAATGTAATAATCGACAGAAAAGAAGGTAAGACTAGTGTTTACATATACTAACTTGACTCATGTAGGTCCGTACCCCGGCAAATTACAAAATTGACATTTATTTTTCTGCAATCCCCATACCATTAAAAAGAAAGAAGCTCTATTTGAGAAGAACGGAAGATGGAACATAACAGATGGATGAAATGCATAGTTATTAGCAGGCTATAGCTTTAGTATGGGTGGGATGTCTACTGGTTTCACTTTCTGCGAGTACTCATTTTGAGCCTGTTTTTATCTAAGTGGTATTTAAGCTAGTAAGAACCAAAAATAGCAAGCCCCCCATGTTCTTGAAAGAAGCTTTAAAAAAATAAACCAACAGCTTCTGATGCCTCTGCTTTCAGTATGAGAAGAATTAGAAATGCACTATTTTTTTAAACAGATCAGTGATTCTTATCTGTATGGCAAAATGGGTTGATGAGTAAGTGCATTTTTTATCTCAAAGAGATTGCAGTTTACAGGAAGCTGTGGTAGTGATGAAAAGAATGAATAAGTAACTACCACAGTTTCCTTAGAAAGAAGAATTTTAATACAATGCAGTTTCTACAGTTGTCTGGATATTTTTCTCTGGGTTTAAGTTTAACAGTCCCATAGAATCATAGAACTGAAAGGGACCTTGAGAAGTCATCTAGTCCAGTCCCCTGCACTCAAGGCAGGACTAAGTATTATCTACACCATCCCCAACAGGTGTTTGTCTAACCTACTCTTAAAAATCTCCAGTGAAGACGACTCCACAACCTCCCTAGGCAATTTATTCTAGTGCTTAACTACCCTGACAGTTAGGAAGTTTTTCCTAATGTCCAACCTAAGCCTTCCTTTCTGCAATTTAAGCTCATTGCTTCTTGTCCTATCCCCAGAGGTAAAGAACAAAAATTTTTCTCTCTCTTCCTTATAACAACCTTTTACATACTTGAAAACTTCCCTCATAGGTCATGTTTTCTAGACCTTTAATCATTTTTGTTGCTCTTCTCTGGACTCTCTCCAATTTGTCCACATTCTTCCTGAAATGTGGCACCCAGAACTGAACACAATACTCCAGTTGAGGCCTAATCAGAGCAGAGCAGAAGAATTACTTCTTGTGTCTTGCTTAGAACATTCCTGCTAATACATCCCAGAATGATGTTTGCTTTTTTTGCAACAGCGTTACACTATTGACTCATTTAGCTTGTGGTCCACTTAGACCCCCAGATCCCTTTCCGCAGTACTCCTTCCTAGGCAGTCATTTCCCATTTTGTATGTGTGCAACTGATTGTTCCTTCCTAAACAGAGTACTTTGCATTTGTCCTTATTGAATTTCATCCTATTTACTTCAGACCATTTCTCCAGTTCGTCTAGATCATTTTGAATCTTAATCCCAAAGCACTTGCAACTCCACCCAGCTTGGTATCATCTGCAAACTTTATAAGTGTACTCTGTATGCCATTATCTAAATCATCAATGAAGATATTGAACAGAACCAGACCCAGAACTGATCCCTGTGGGACTCTACTCATTATGTCCTTCCAGCATGACTGTGAACCACTTATAACTACTCTCTGGGAACAGTTATCCAACCAGTTATGCACCCACCTTCTAGTAGCTCCATCTAGGTTGCATTTCCCTAGTTTGTTTATGAGAAGGTCATGCGAGACAGTATCAAAAGACTAAAGTCAAGATATACCACATATACTGCTTCCCCCTATACCCAAGGCTTGTTACCCTGTCAAAGAAAGCTATCAAGCTGGTTTGATAGGATTTGTTCTTGACAAATCCATGCTGATTGTTACTTATCACATTATCTTCTGGACATTTGTAAACTGATTGCTTAATTATTTGCTGCATTATCTTTCTGGGTACAGAAGTTAATCTGACTGGTCTGTAATTCTCTGTGTTGTCCTTATTTCCCTTTTTATAGATGGGCACTGTATTTGCCCTTTTCCAGTCTTCTGGAATCTCTCCCGTCTTCCATGACTTTTCAAAGATAATTGTTAATGGCTCAGATATCTCCTCAGTCAGCTCCTTGAGTATTCTAGGATGCATTTCATCAGGCCCTGGTGAATTGAAGACATCTAATTTGTCCAAGTAATTGTTAACTTGTTCTTTCCCTATTTTAGCCTCTTCTGATCCTACCTCATTTTCACTGGCATTTACTATGTTAAGACATCCAATCACCAATCTTCCTGGTGAAAACCGAAACAAAAGAAGTCATTAAGCACCTTTGCCATTTCCACATTGTTCTCTCCCCCGCCCACCCCCCCTCATTGAGTAATGGCCTACCTTGTCCTTCCTCCTACTTCTAATGTATTTGTAGAATGTTTTCTTGTTACCCTTTATGTGTCTAGCTAGTTTGATCTCATTTTGTGCCTTGGCCTTTCTAATTTTGTTCCTACATACTTGTGTTATTTGTTTATATTCATCCTTTGTAATTTGACCTAGTTTCCACTTTTTGTGAGACTCTTTATTTTTAGATCATTGAAGATCACCTGGTTAAGCCAGGGTGGTCTCTTGCCATACTTCCCATCTTTCCTATGCATTGGGATAGTCTCCTCTTATGCCCTTAATAATGTATCTTTGAAAAACTGCCAACTGTCTTATGTTGTTTTTCCCCTTTGACTTGCTTCCCATGGAATTTTACCAACCAACTCCCTGAGTTTGCTAAAGCCTGCCTTCTTAAAATCTACTGTCTTTATTTTGCTGTTCTCCCTCCTATCATTCCTTAGAATCATGAACTCTTATAATTTCATGATCACTTTCACTCAAGGTGCCTTCCACTTTCAAATGTTCAACCAGTTCCTCCCTATGTCAAAATCAAATCTACAACAGCCTTTCCCCCGGTAGCTGTCTCCACCTTCTAAAATAAAAAATGGTCTCCAATACATTCCAAGAACTTATTGGATAATCTGTGCCCTGCTGTATTATTTTCCCAACAGATGTCTGGGTAGTTGAAATCCCGCACCACCACCAAGTCCTGTCCTTTGGATGATTTTGTTAGCTGTTTAACAAGGAACATATTTGTTCCTTGCTCTGGCTGATCTGGTCTAGTACAGTAAAGGAACAGAAATATTGCCTTTTAAAACTCGTCTCTAAGACTGGGAACCCCCTTTTGGGGGGGGGGGGGGGTCTTTCAATACAAAGGGCAGTCTTCTTAATACAGAGCTGCTTTACAGCTACCCAATAGGACAGAGTTCTCTCTCTCTCTTCCCCCTATAAAAAGCTGTAAAGCTTTTTCCTCACTATGGCTTTGTCTTGAGTAGAAGGCCTTAAACCTTGTCTACTCAATCAATGCTTTGCAGAGCCTTTAGTGTAGATGCAGGTTATGCCAACAGGAGGAATTTTTCCGTTGGTATAGTAATATCACTTCCCCAAACATTACACTTGGGTTTTTGCTGCCCTAGCAACGTCTGCCAAGAGTGTTTTTTCACACCGCTGACCAACATAGCTATGCCAACAAAACTTTGTATGATACTCTGCCACTACAGTAGGAAGTCTAACACCATTAGCTTGGTTTTAGCTCATGTTCTAACC